CTCCGCTACTTGAAGGGCTTCGGTGTTGAACCGGGTGACAAAGCTGCGGAGCGACTCCCCCTCGGTCTGACGAATGTTAAGGTGCTGGGTGGCTGGGCGTCTCTAACGCTGGGCTCCAATAAAGTGGCTCAGGAAGGAGTCACTGAGGTGTTGAAAGGTGGAGACGGAGTCCGCCGGGAGTTGGCTAAACCAACTCGGCACATGATCTCGTCAGGGAAAGCATGGAGGATCATGAGGGTGCGGTAGGATTCCAGATGGTCGACTGGGTCCGTCGTGCCATCGAAGGAGTCAACGGTAGGCATCTTGAACTTGGCAGGCAATGGTTTGTCGCGGATGGAGGCAACAAAAGGCGAGTTGGTGGTGACTGAGGGCTTGTGCTGAATGTTCTGCATGACCCCTTGTAGTTGGAGTTTCATAGCTCGGATTTCAGCGTCCCAGAGGGGAATGTTGTCGCCATGGTCGGTCAATGGAGGCTGGACACTGCTAGCTTCCCCCTCAGGAGCCAGTGCTGCGACTGGCGAGCGTGGAGGTGGGGGTGGTAGGTTTTCATGTTGGGGAGGAAGGGGCTGCGAGCCTTCTGGGTTAGCGCGGAGGGGGTTGTGGAGCAGTATGGCCTGGGGTTATTCCTTGGTTGGGTGGGATATTTGGAGGTGGAACAGGGGGGTTTCTCTGGAGTAACGCATTGATCAGGGCCTGGTTTTGCTCGGCCATGCGGTTAATGCTGTTGGTGAGCTCGATGATATATTGTGGTGGGTTAGTTGGGTGGGAAGGATCTATTTGGTGATCGGCGGCGTTGTGGTGAGAAGCCATGGACCTAGTCGTGACCATACACCTGGACGGGCAAGAGGGAAAGGTGATGGTGAGAGGGGAGGGCTCCGGCGGTAGTGAACACAACTAGCGCACGGATAAACCACTAAGTTCCCACAGACGGCGCCAACTGATGATACAGGCCGTCCCGAGTGGATGGGTCAGGCTAGCCCAGGTTCTTCAGGTTCTGGTTTCGGGTGGTGATTCCGTCAAATGACCTGCAAGCAAGTCCAAAGGGGAACGGGGCAGTCCCCCAGTGAACCCTCCGGCGAGAGAATTAGTAAAAGGAAGACAAGAAAATGTAGCGAAGAAGATGGAGAAATGAAAAGCTTAACCTTATTCTTGTGCTTCTCTTGTTGCTTATATCCTTTGGTAATCATTTCACTGTCCTTTGTGACGTGCCCCCCTTTTCGCCGAAAGCCTGTGCTGTAGCTTACCTTGTTCAGGGTGAGGGGGCTCTGTTCCGACGGGGAGGTGTTGTCGTAATAAATGCTGTGATGGGCTGCATTAATGGTGATGTGTTGTGGCAATAACTCTGCAGATCTTTGTCTGCTGATGTGGCCTGTGTCTCATCTGTCATGTGTCCGAATGCCCTTGGGTGATACAGTCCAGGTGGACTCCAGCTGTCCTGGGCTTTGCCAATTAAGTTATGCTACGGGTCCGAGGTGATGGGTTCGGGGCGGTTTGCCGTGGGCTGTATGCCTCGTGGGCCTGTCCATGTCAGATTTAATTCAATATCAATGACTTTAGTTGCATTCGGTCATTTTTCGTTAAGTAACATATATAATTTTTTTTGGGGTATATAATGATTAAAGCTATCATTTGTTATATTTCTTCAAGTATAATTCAAATAATTTGTCATCATTTTTTTTATAAATAAAATAGATTAAAACTATTTTCTTATATAATTTTTATAATCCTACAAAATTCTTATCTTGATCTATTTTTTTAAATATGGAACTATGAAAGTGTTATTTAAGCTATGAAGAAAATAATTATGGATAAGGATTTATACTTTGATATGATATGCATGTGTCATTAATACAGAAAATCAAAGATAAAGAGTTACTAACATGATCAATTAATGATTAGCTTGAGAAGTTCTTTTTATGAGTAAGGTAACAAACTTAGATTAAAAAATTTTAAAAACTATGTAGAAATTATAATTAAAAGTTGAGATTTATTTATAATTTGGTCCCACAATAATAATATAAACCACTGATTTAAAAGTTTAAATAAATTATGATAACTTTTCTGAGTTTATATAATTAAAAGTTGAGATTTATTATGAAATTTTGTGAATTAATTATTATTAACATCTACGACAATGGCCTATTATCATGATTTGTCACTATTAAGACATAATTCAAGGTTAAGATAATTTATTTATTATACAAAATGTATATGGTCTATTTTTCCGTGCACCGCACAAGTTACTACTAAAAGTCTTACATTGGTTAAGGTTCAAGCTGGTTGCTAGTTTGAACATCTACACGTTTATTCTAATACCTAAATTAAAAAATAAAAATAATAAAAATACATTATTATTATTTTTTGAAAATCACACAACTTAAAATAACGTCATTTTGTTTTCTAAATTTCCATACTAAGAGCATCTCTAATGACAAATGCTATAATAGCATTGTCATTGCCAAATTATGGCAATCAATAGTAACATTTGGAGGGCTGTCATTTTGCCATTTTGGCACGTGTGGAACGTCTGGCCGGACATCCTACACGCACCAGTTTCCAGCTTTCTTTTCTGCAAAAATGGTGAACGTGAGGGAGGGAGAAATGTTTTGCTGGGAGGGAGGAAGGAAAGTTTTTGTTGTGAGTTGACAGTTATGGCAGTTGCCAAAACTTGTGTCAAATTTGACACAAGTTTTGACATTTGTCAAATTTGACAGCTACTATAACTTATTGTTGGAGGTGAATTTCTGTGAACTACTACCATAATTTAGTAATAACAGCTTCAATATCTTGTCATTAGAGATGCTCTAAGGTAATTATATTGGCTCCACGCGTAAGCCATCCAAGCAATAGCTCTAACCAAAATTTGAAAAAGGCCCCAAAATTTTCTATCCAAAATTAGTGTTGTAACGACTATCTTTTTTTTTTAATCATATATTAATTTTATTATCTCGATGCGTCAACATTGTATTGATTTGATGGATGCTACCATGCTTGTTACAAATTCACTATTAATACTTCTTTTGCCCAAAGATTTGGCTAAAAAAAAAACATTATATAGAAGATCAATAGATAAAAAATTATTATTCAAAGGTTTAGCTGAAAAAAGTTATTATCCAAAGACGCCTTCGATATTAAAGTTTAGAATTTTAATTAAAAGAATTGAAGAAAAAATAAATTTTATATAAAATATTCACAAATTTTAAAAATTAATAAATAGTATGTAAATTAATATTTAAAATTTTAAAAACCTCTAAAAGGGTGGGTTGGGCCTTAGCGCCATTGCAAGTAATTACAACTTACATCTACTTTTCTTGAGTAGTTTAATTGGACAATTGTGAATTTCAAAAGCACTTCCCATTTCTTCACTTAATTCTAAAGACACTTACACTTTTACATCCAATTTTTATGCAAATTAATTACATCTGGAAAGATATAACTCGACTTGCCTCCATCAATCAAACAATAGTAATTACACTGATTTCTCTTAAATTTTTTTAAAAATATACAAATTTTTGTTTATAACTTTAAAATAATGGTGATGCCACATCATCTACTGGTACACCAGTGTGTACATTAATTAGTACATATAGCATTATTCTTAAAATAATTATATGTACTTCTCTTTTAGAAATGTTAAAAATATCGAAATTAATCTAGATGATGCAAAGATACAAATAAACAAAGATAAAATATGCCTTTCATTATAAAAGATATTAAAATATTATTTTTTTTTATTCATATGACCAATGAATTATTGATGAACATGGATCTAAATTTTATGTAATTAAAACATTAAGAGAGCATAATGTAATTGTATCAAACTTAAAAATTATACTGTATTTTTTTTAAATCTAAAAAAAACAATATAGTTTACCCATAGTAAAAAATTCAAAACTAATTTATTAACTGTGTTTTTTGGTTAATATTGACACTTGTGTTTGGTTTCAATTTTTTGAAAATTGAATTTTTTATTTTTCGTATTTCTGTTTTTGTTTTTAGTGAATAATTTAAAAAATTTAAGCAATTTTTTTACTTTTTTAGATGCACCTTACTTAGATGTATCTAAAAAGTAAAATATTTACAAAAAAAAAAATTAAAAATCAATAAATACACAAGAGTACAAAAAATAAACTAAATTCTCGTATTTATTTTTTTTTGGGTATTTAATGAATTTTCTAAAGATTTTTTTTTACAAATATTATACTTTTTAAGTGTATTTATGCTAGGTGTATCCAAAAATTATAAAAATTGCTTAGAATATTAAAAAAAATCAATGAAAACAAAAAGATACAGAAAACAAAAACTTTTCAGTGTATTTGGTTTGAGTTTTTTGGATTAAGTTTTTTAAAAATTGAGTTTTTTTATTTTCATGTTTTTTTTTTGTTTTTAGTGAATATTTTTAAAATTTTAAATATTTTTTTTTTACTTTTTTAGATGCATATTTCTTAGATGTATCTAAAAAGTAAAAAAAATTGTGAAAAAATATTTTAAAAAATTAATAAATACATAAAAGTACAAAAAAAAATATACTGAATTCTCATTTTTTTTTAAATATATTTTTAATATTTAGTGAATTTTTAAAAAGCTTTTTTTCACAAAATCTTTATTTTTTAAGTATATATATGTTAAGTATGTCTAAAATTTCAAAAAAAAATTATTTAAAATATTTAAAAAAATTAGTAAAAAAAAAATACGAAAAACAAGAAAATAAAATTTTCTGAAAAATGTTTTTGAAAAACTCTGAAAGTGAATCCTAAAAACAGAAACCAAAACCAATCGGAGATGCTGTTAGTTTGACCACATGAATAGACATACCACTGCAACTACAGAACTATGTCTGAGTTTATGTGCATCTCAAATCAGCATTCATGGAAAAATTCTAGTCCCACTTCTAAAAAGTCTTTGCTACATTTTGATTGCCAAGCTTTCACAAGTTACCCATTTCTCAAGCTTCAACAAGACACCCAACGAGGTATAAATAAAACCAAAAACAAAAAAAATGTGTAACACATCCATCAACATATTATAAATGCCATTAAGCAAACACAGAATTACAAAATAATAATATTTTGAAGGCAGAGAGCAAAGATGGCCCTAACTGCCCTTCAACAATGCCTGAAACTTAACCAAGTTAAGATGGAACATAGGACCTGGTTTAAAATGTGTCTCATACATATGTATCTGACCCACACTCGTTATATTAAGCGAAATGTACATATTGACTACTACAAATTAGAATAGCTTCATGGATTGACCTTTGGCGCCCATCCTGCAACCACATGTTCTTTTGCAGCCTTGGTCTTCTCAAAACACTCCTTAGAGAAGAGCAACTGCATAACAAAGGCACAATCAACCGAGATTAGATCATTAACAGAGAGAGAGAGAGTAGATTGACAAGGTTTTTCATTCTCTCCTTTCAATTTACATAATTATGGAAAAATTCTTGATTCATCCATTGGTTTCATATCAATAATCTATATCAATTGTAAAAACTGTAGTGTCAAAAGACAAGGCACAGAACAAATACTGGAAAAGGATTCAATTTGCACACATTCCTTATAAAAAAATTATAGTAAGTTGAGAAATAAAGAGGAACTCTACTGATTAAACATGGGTTTCATACTAATGCTTTACAAACTTTCATAAAAGAAGTTAATTTTGACAGGCAAGAGACAGAACTTATACAAATTTAGGGCTAATGGTAAAAGATGGGATGGGACCAACACATTTCATTTACATTAATTCCAACAAATATTTGGCTAAATTATCAATTAGTTCCTCCAATTTTACACTAGTTTTCAATTTAGCCCTCAAACTTCTAATAATTTATTTAATTTATATATTTTTTTATCTAAGCCCTTGAACTTTCATAATTATGCCGTTGTAATGCAGCCCACTTACAGATGTGGGTCCTGCTATATCGTGTGCTTTGTAATTGAGCTAATTTTAGGGATTAAACTAACAAAATGATAGTCTAAATGAAAGGAAAAAACATGAAGAGACAAAACCGCTAACAGTTTCATGTGAACTTGAATGTGCAATCAGAAGTAGGAATTCTAACTGGGCAAAGGTATGTCCAACTCTGAGCAAATTTTAGAAAAGATTAACCAAAAAACCATCAAAACACTGAACCCCACTCAGTATGAAACCGATGAATGTTATTTAAGGAACCAATAGTTGAAATCAACATCTAGAATTCTCTAAACACATAGCCAAGACTTACTTAAAGAGAACTTGAACAATCTTGCAACATTAGAACTTGAACTAGCAGAGGCTTTATCAGACTAATAGTTGTGGCATGAGGAGTGATGCTCTAGTTTAGTCATTTGTGACTTTTTCTTGGTAAGTTGTATGATTTTATCATCATTGCTTGAGTGGTTTTTGTGGTGTTCCACTCCCAAAAAACAAAGTTTGGGTTCTAGTACTCCTTAAGTCAGATTCTTCACTTGGTAAGCAGTGATTGACAAGTGATTAATGTGGACCATCTAACTATTAAAGACGAGTAATTCCTGATCTATGTTGTATATCCAAATCATGAAGAACCAGCTGTTCACCTTTCTGAACTGAGGTTTCATCGGATCTTTGAAGTCCTTATTTCTTGCTTGGTGCCTTTTAAAGTTGCAGTTTTTTGTTTCGTGTGATGTGTTTGGAAACAGAGGGATAAAAACTTCCAACAATCAGGAATTGACTTCTTTGAAGCTTAAGGAAACCCTTACCATGATCCTGTCACTTGAAGCCTTCCTTAACAACCAATTTGAAATTTTCTCCAGAGTTTATAGAAAGTTCTCTGATTGGTTCAATTCCTCTTTTGAGTGTTATACACCTTGTGTGTGCATGACTTCTTGCCTTTCTTATTTCTTTAATAAATTGAATTATTGATAAAATTATGAAAAAGGACCAAATTGCTCTTGTAATACAAGGAGAGCAAGTATAATTGTTATTTGGGGAAAGCCTGAAAAACATTTGTTCTTCAAGAATAAAATCAAATTCCTAGTTTGCACTCTCTGACTTTAGGACTTCAATATCCAAAAGCAACACCATGAACCCAACATATCTCACTCCAGGAGCAGGAACATATATGGATTTGATAACAAAAAAAGTAATAATACTAGCAGGGAAACAACAATTCTCAACATCAACATAAAATAACTACAACAACAATTTCCAACATCAATCTAAAAATAAGTTTTGAAAGCAGAAGGTTCTGTTTTCTTTCATAATGAACATGCTAAACAGCATATAAATCAAAAGTTTAGATCCAGGGACTTAAGTTGTCATAGCACACAATTAAATAAAAACTAAACTTGCATTGACCAAAAAAAAACTAATTCACCTTCATGTAATTATGGACATGAGTCAAGCTTTCTGGGATTTTCCAGCCCTTGAAATGGCCAAGAGCCACATCAAGATGGTACAGCTTTGGTGCCAGACCCAAATCAACAGCGCAAACGCTTTCCCCATTAATATACGGTCCCTTACCATATCAGTTAATTAATTAGTACTAACTTCCATTACAAACAAAAGTTAAAAGGTACTAACTCTTTGTTAATGATTTCACAATACTTCAAAAGTAAATACACATACATGTGCCTGAAGATGTTCATCCAGTGCCTTCAACTCATCAAGCAAAGCCTGCTCCGACCCATCATTGGGGTCCTTGCTCTTCAGGAACTTGACAAAAGAAGGGAATATCTTGGACCCACTATAATCTCACAGAAGTTGGAGAGCATAAATCAGTAAGACAACTCCAAAGTAGTTCCAAGAAAATGAATATAAAAAATAAAAAAACTGCTAGTTTTGTGTGAAAATTTTAGTTCATCCTGGCCACATCAAATCAAAACTACTTATGGATGAATATGGAGGGAGGAAAAAATTAGATCCAAAGTCCGTAACATAAGCTAAAGACGTCGATTCTTCCAAAATTTTTATAAAGAAGACTCAACCATAATGATATAGCAGTGGAATTTCTGAAATAATAGGCCACTTTGATGAGTCTTTTGATTTAAAATAAAATGATAAGACTCAAATGTGCGACTGTGATTGTGTAAAAATTTTCTAGACAAATCAATGAGTTACTATAATTTTTTTTTATAATCAATCTATTTCTGGATTGACTTATGAGCGAGGGCCAAGATACATGACCAATGCCAATAGAAAACAAATCAATAGAGAAATAGTGCTAGAAACCAAACTTAAGAAATAAAAACACACAAAATTACAATTGAAATGTTTACAACAATTAACGAAACACATAGCATAATGATAAATCTGAATTCGTTTCCAAAAATCTGAGGGCATTGATGAAACTTTCAGAAACAGGATTTTTTTTGGATAAGTAAGTCATATTATAACCAAAAAAGAAAGATATACAATGAAGTTCAATACACATCTTTTGTAGGGAGAACAAAAATAAACAAAAACGAACTACTCACTCAAAAGAAACAAAACTATTCTTATAGAAGACAAACACGACATTCACAACAAAAAGGATTCAAAATTTCCCTCTAACACTCTTCAAGTTATGAAGTTTCGTCTTGTGTTTTTCTTCTGTTATTCTCCTTTGTAGTCTCCCCATTACTGGGGTCACTTGGAGATGGACTCCCTCTATTATTTATGCTCTTCATTTGGTACAACAACTCTTGACATAACTCTCCATTCCCCAACTCTCCCATATCACACGATTCAAAGACATTAAAGGTATTAGATGTTGAGGGAGCGGAAGACTGCGTCTCTCTCTCTCTCTTGTTTAACACCGTCGTTGAACCTTGCCTACCATCTCTCCCCTTTTTCTTCACCACTTCCCATTTAGTCGAAATTTGTATTTTAGTCTCCTTCTCCACTCTTATTTGAAAGAGAGAGGATTCAAAGGGCTTGTTTGGTTTGATTTTGGGAGATGAGTTTGGGAGATAAAAAGTACGAAAAGTTGTTTGGTTTGATTTTTTTGGAAAGATATTTTGGAAAATTATTTTGAGAGAGAGTTTTGAAAAAAGTGATTGATTTGATGTGTATGAGAGAGAGATTTGTTTGGAAAACTTGTTTGGTTTACAAGTTTTGGGGAAATTTTTTGAGAAAATTTGTTTGGTTTGAGTTTTTCTGAAAACTCATTTGTAGAGAAATTTTCTCAAAAATTTTTGGGAAATTCAAACCAAACGAACCCAAAGTCTTTGACTTTTGAGGGCACAAATTAATGGTATGACCAAAAGTCTTACAAACATCACACCTTTTGGGGCTTCTATGGAACCTCATCTTGAATCTCACACGGGTCACCACAACCAAGATTTATTTTGAAAGACTCAAGATCTTTTTATTTGCTGGCACTTCGATACATATTCAGAGACAGGATAGTTTTCAGCTGATCTCAATTTTTAATTTACCTTAGTCGTACTTCTAATTGCCTTGGAAAATTTCCTGTCTACCAAAATATTTTCTGAAAGAAAATTCAAATAAGTTCCGGAATCGTGTTTTTTTACAACAAATACCTGTTTGGTTGAGTTTTCAAAATATATTTTTACTCAAAAAAATAGAGACTATTTTGATAAAAATAAATACGAATTTTTTTTTTATAAAAAAATCCAAAACTTATTTTTGCCCCAAAAAAGAAATTATATATATATATGAATATGATGGGAGCTTTTTATTTTTTCTTTTTTTATTTTAATCAAACTAGGTTTAGAACAGAAATCAGTTTCTGAAAACTCAACCAAATTAGTTGACTTCTCAAAAACAGAAAAAAATGATAACAAAGAGGCTTACCTTTTTGCAACAATCATCACACTGAACAGTAAAAATATAGAAAACACCATCTAGCCCACAACACAATCCAAACTATTACAGATCCATCAATAATATATATATATATATATAGAGAGAGAGAGAGAGAGAGAAGCATACACAGAGGAGACCTCGGGAGAATGGCAGAGAGGAGGGTCTGGGAATTTTTCTTCAATATGGCTAACAATAACATCAGAGTCAGAAATCCATTCTTCATCAAATTTTATCACAGGCACCTTCCCTTCTGGGTTCGCTTCCAAAAACCTAAACAATCATCACCCAAAAAAAAAAAAAAACATATTCAATTTTCGAGGTTTTTGAGACCACACAAACACTACAAACATGGTTATATGAAGCAAAAAAAAAAAAGACTCGAAATTGTCTAACCATTGGGGTTTGTCACTGATATTGATCAGATGTATCTTGTATGGGATTTTCTTCTCCTCCAAAGTCAGAAGCACCCTTTGGGTAAAAGGACCTATAACCCACAAATCATCCACACAAACCCACAAATTATTATCAAAATCACAGACATCTAATCATAACCCATTAACCAAAATGGTTATGTGTATATATGTCTGTATTTATAGAGAGAGAGAGAGAGAGAGAGAGAGAGATTACAGTCTCCAAGAATATCAGGAGCACCAGAAGCAGCCTTGGCACAGACCTCCAAAGCCATGGTGTGGGTCAAGCAAGGTCTCAAAGAGGAGAAACTCAAGAACGGCAGAGGGGACTGGTTGTAATGATATAAAGAATTTTTTTTTAATTTTTTTTTTTTTTTTGCCCTTTTTAAAATATAGGAAGGGAGAAATTTTTTTTTAAGAAAATTAGTCTAGGGTCCCTCTCCCACTTTTCGTAATGGAAGAGATCTACAAAATTATTTTTTGATATCTAAGGTCCTTTAACCCCAAACTCATATGTCACAGAGAAATTTAAGAAGTCTCTCTCTTCTCACTCTCTGCTCTCTCTCTCCTACATCAACCCCAAACCCTAGCTTCTTCTTTCATCCTTGTGAGCTTGCTCACAGCTATCAGACCTTGTTCTTGCTCAAACACGTCTAGACCCACGAACCGTGGTCTTGACGGAGCTGTGAACACAGACCAAATCAATGAGTTACTCCGAAAGCACCGAAACGGAATCGCGGCAATCAACAGGCCGACGAAGAGGACTCCGCTCTCTCTCTCTCTCTTTCTTACTAGAAACTCTCTTCTATTTCTCTCTCCCTAATCTCTCCCTACAAAGTGTGAGTTTGCTTTTTCTGTTCTTGCTGGCTTTGCCTCTGGATGTGTTTTTTCAAACTTTTCCCATTTCTCTTCCCTTCATTTCTGACTTCAACATCTCTTTTTTCTCTGATATATTTTGCAATTCCGTCTCCTTATCCATCAAATTTGCCCTCAAATGTTCAATGTTGTCTTTTGATTTCTTCAGTTCCTTTTCCAGTTCATATTCTCTCTAGCTTGGTAAGCTCTTCTCAAGCTTCATATGTAGCTCTTCATTCTCCTCTGAGATACCTTGCAATTTAGTTTCCTTCAAATTTCTCTGGTTGTTGAAATTTCTCTGGTAGATCTTTGGTTTGTTCAAATTTCTCTGGTAGGTCTCTAGGTTGTTCAAATTTCTCTGGAAGTTTTGTTATTGCCTCATGCTATCTCCAGTTAATCATTTATCTTGTTTTGCATTTGTGTTGATGCTATCAAAGTGCTCTTGCTTATTTTGCTTTCATGGTGCTGCTACAGATGATATAAAAAGAAGATGATGATGATGATGAAGGTTGCTTGCTGCTTTTTATGGTTGTGAAAAAAGATTTCAATGTCAAGTGGAATTTGATGAATGAATTCTGAGAAATTTTCAACTATACCAACTTTATTAGATTTGATTTCATTGAATTTCCAAGACCTCTTCCTCTGCAGAGAAATTTCAATTTTCTAACATCTCATTTTTCTCTGATATATTTTGCAATTCCGTCTCCTTATCCATCAAATTTGCCCTCAAATGTTCAATGTTGTCTTTTGATTTCTTCAGTTCCTTTTCCAGTTCATATTCTCTCTAGCTTGATAAGCTCTTCTCAAGCTTCATATGCAGCCCCTCATTCTCCTCCAAGATACCTTGCAATTTAGTTTCCTTCAAATTTCTCTGGTTGTTGAAATTTCTCTGGTAGATCTTTGGTTTGTTCAAATTTCTTTAGTATGTCTCTAGGTTGTTCAAATTTCTCTGAAAGTTTTGTTATTGCCTCATGCAATCTCCAGTTAATCATTTATCTTGTTGTGCATTTGTGTTGATGCTATCAAAGTGCTCTTGCTTATTTTGCTTTCATGGTGCTGCTACAGATAATGTAGAAAGAAGATGATGATAATGATGATGATGAAGGTTGCTTCATACTTTTTATGGTTGTGAAGAAAGATTTCAATGTCAAGTGGAATTTGATGAATGAATTCTGAGAAATTTTCAACTATACCAACTTTATTAGATTTGATTTCATTGAATTTCTAAGACCTCTTCCTCTGCAGAGAAATTCAATTTTCTCTGGGTTGAACCCAAAGAAATTCTTTGGGAAGTTCATAATTTCTCTAGGTTAGAAGTAATTTTCTTTGAGAGCATTTTTAGAACCTTCTATCTGTGACACAGTGAGAGCTTTCAACAACATTTGGTGGAGGATCAAACCCACGGCAAAGAATTTCTCTGGAGTCCATGAAAGGCTAAGGAAATTTCTCTGGTAGTGTCCATGAAAGGCTAAGGAGGCCAGAGAAATTCAAATTTTCTCTGGACCAATTTTCTCTAGACCAATTTTCTCTGAATTGATGTTGAGGGACCTTAGACATCATGAAAATATTTAATGTCCTTTATATTATAAAATCATATTATCAAGGACCTTAAAAAAAATATCCCATTTTTTTTCTTCATTTTTTTTTTATTGTTTTTTCTTAATTCTTAATGTAAAGATTAAAATATCAAAAATGCTTATGACCATTAATTAGTGGTGCCATTAATGATGTAGTAGTGGATCTCACCTACTGCCACGGTCTTTGTTGTAATTTTTTTTTTCCCATCTCATTAATGGTGATTTAATAGTACCAAATTAGTAGTACAAATCAGTACTGTTAAAATATTATGTTTAGTATGCAATTTTTTGGTACAAGGTGTCTTTAATTAAGCCGAAAAATTCTGCCTCTTCATTTTTTACCTTTTTAAGACATGAAAACAAGAAAAAAAAATTAATAGAGAATATTGTATCGGTCAATAATGGCTCCGTTTGGTAAGCAATTTAAAATAATTATATAGGTTAAAATTATATATTTTAGTTAAATATGATAAAATATCATATTTAATTTATAATTATTTATTTTTTTTCTCACAAAAATTAAAAAATTTAAAAAGTTTATCCTAAACAAAGATTTTTAGCCTTAGATTAAAATAACTAAAAAATTAAAAAGTTAACCCACACTCTAAACGAACTCTATATATACAAATTTCATGTGGGAAATTTTAGCAATTCTTGCTAGGAGATGCGTGGAGTAGTTTGAACGGTTTGAGAAAAAAATTATAAATTAAAATGATAGATTGACAAATTGCGATTTGAATGATTTTAGACGAATTGACGGATTGAAAAATATTTTAACCAATTCTCAATTCTATTTATAATATATGGCCTTGTTTGGGAAGTGGCTATTTTAGTAGGCTATTTTAGTTTTTTGCTATTTTAGTAGGTTAAAATTTTTGTGTTTGGGAAGATGATTGGATTTTTTTGTGATTAAATGTGATGTTTGTGAGAGAAAAAGTAAAATGATTATGGGTTTGATGTGATATTTTGTCTTATTAGCTATTTTAGCTTATTTTATCTTTTTGTGATTTTTAGCCTAAACTAGGCTATTTTTTTTCTTCCCAAACACCCCCATAACACTAATTTATATAATATTTTTCATATATATAACACAAACTAATTTTACATAATATTTTCATATATAACTATTAATTTGTAATAAATTTCACATATTAAATATCTCTCACACTCATTTTTACTTTGATATTTCATTATAGGTTAAAAAATATATATGTATTAATTAGAGTTAATTACCAAAAAGATTTATTTACAAATATTATCGTAGTTCATGTCCTATTTAAGAATTTTTTAAACCAATAAACCTTATTTAGTAAAATTGAGAATATTATCAGTTTTCACAATTTTTAAAATTAAGAACATTATCAATTTTGTATAGTAATGTTCCAAATAATTGTTTCATTAATTGATGGGAAAAAAATAGAACATGAGATTAAATATTTTGTCATTCTACTTATTGATTTGATTTAACTATCCAATAAAATAGAAAACCTTTATAGTTTTTTTTAGTTTTAAAACTGAAAGCATTCTCAATTTTTTCATTTTTCAAGTTTTTTTTTTTTTTTTTCCAGTTTTGCACATTAATATTCCACCATCATTCTCCTTTATAAACACAAAATTTTTAGTTTTGCACAAAAAAATAATTCAATTTTTTCAAAAAAAAAAAACATAGGTTTTTTTTTTTTTGCACAATTTTTTTTTAGTTTTTCAATTTGAAAGTCGATGTTATAAAGATTTAAAAATCAAAATAAATGTCAAATCATCATTTCCTTTATTGATAATTATAAATGATGAATAACCATTGTTTAAAGGGTAATTCTGACTATTAAAATTTTAATGGGACTTGAAAGTATAAAAAAAACTCAGTTAGAACTTAATAGAATAAGTTCATAAATTAAGACTTTTGTGTAAATGTCTCTATTAACTATAGCGAAGCGGAGCGATTTTGAAGGCGGATTATAAATTTTAAAGTTTAAACCACGGTTAACCGATAGAGTTGTACGAATTAATGTAGATTGGTGTGATTTTAGCAAATTAAGCACTATTTTGTACAATCCTAATTCTTGCACACACGCAAAAAAAAAAAAAAAAAAAAAAAAAAAAAAAAAAAAAAAAAAAAAAAAAATGTACAATTACACACTTTTCTACTTTTTAAATTTGATAAAGAAAATGTTTGTTTTTAGTATTTTTTTTATGTATTTATATAATGAAATGTATGTGTAAAATAATTGAGAATTAATGCACATACCAAATTTCATAAAGAACAAAAGAGGTAATGTAATTTTGTCAATTTCAAATGACTGGGTAGTTTGTGGTCATATATTGTTTTTGGTACTTCGAAAATAATTTGTGGTCATATATGTAGCTACTAGAAAGTCAGCATTCTTTGACCTCAGTTGATGATATGATTAATTTGTTTGGTATGTATTAAGAAGAAATGAAGAAAAAAAAGAAAAGAAAAGAAAGATTATTTGTCTAGAAAATGTGCGAGACAAAGGAATCATTGAGAATGAAAAGTTGAGATTTAAATGGTGTATTATAAGGTTTGTGTGCAAATTAGATCTAGATCATTCATTTTGATGTTTTTGTATAAATTTCTAGATAATAATTTTGAATTTATAAAATTATGCTGAAAAAAATAAGAATAAGGAAGCTATGTAATACGATTTGAATGAATATAATCAAAGATCTCATAAAATCTCAATTTTATTATCTTAAATTTATTTTATTTTTTAGAAAATTTGAAAATTGTCCATTAGATTTTTTTTTTCTTTTCATTTAAATGGGCAATTGTAAAGTGTGTTAAAACCAAATTCGTTTGGTTGCATTTCACATGTTTTTATTATAATTATCAGTCACAAGTCATTTGTCAACATTAAAGCACGAGAAAACGGAGACTAGGATCTCTTTCTTCTTTTTGACTTTTGTCATAGTGGGAATATAAAGGT